AAAAAAAAAAAAAAAAAAAAAAAAAGAATGAGCATTTCTACAAATTCCAGGTGGTGCTGATGCTGTCAGCCTGAGGATAACACTTTGAGAGCCACTGCTATACTAGAAAATCACCTTCAATAAACAAATCAGCTGCAATACCTTCCATTTTAAACTAGGAAGAGAGGAAGGGCAGGAGAACAAAACACTAGATCTCTCATCCTCTCGAGGAACTCATAATCAAATTCCATCAGTGTGTGCTGTACAAAAACCTGTCCTCACTAACTTATCTCCCATTACCTTTTTTCCCGTCCAATTAATAACGTACAGGATCAAGAACAAACTGGCACAGAAAGGCTTCTAAAGAGGTGCAAAGGCCTTCCTCTCTCACCTCCTTGCCTCTAGCTTCACTCCCCACTGGCAACCACGCTCAACCATTTCCATTCTTAATTTTTTTGCTGGTTACCCCCATCATTTTCAACAGTAGATATTTTCGATTGACTCTCTGTTTTGAAATATTTAGCTCACTCACACTCCTCTCCAATTGTTTGATGAATGTATTGCTATTTTTTTTTCTTCTCCTGGTCACCTGAAACTTATAAATTATAACCTTTTATAAATTATCCCATCATAGAGAATTGACATTTTTTGCTTGCATTCGGTCATGCTTACATTTTAGTCAGCTTCATACTTGGATCATTAACTTTCTTGAGCTTTTGTTTTTTTCTAGAGTTTCATTATCTTTTGGCCTTATTTACCACATCATTGATAGTTTTCTCCCCCTTCTTACTGAATTATCTATTATGATCAACTCCATTCTCGCTGACTACATTCTCCTCAAAGGACACTTACTTCCTACGCTAATTCAGAGTGAATACTTCCTGGGCCAACTATGTGGCTATCATTCTGGGGATTACTTTCACGGAATTTCTGGTTTAATTTTACTATTTTTTACAATCTGTATCTTCCTCTTTCTTGGCTACCATCTTATTTTACTTACAGGTTCTTGGGTCATTTCCTCAGAAAGAAGTTACCTTAAAAGGTAAATGTTTTAAGTCTTTAAATCTCTGAAAACGCCTTTACTCGTAGCCCCTTCTTGGCTTCTGTGGGTCCACGTACTCCTGGATGTCCTGCATCCCATTAGCTGTTCCTTCTCAGTCCAGCTCGTCTTCGTATGTAAGATTTCTCAATACTGGAACGCCTTAGCACTCAGCCCTGTCCTTGATGCTCTCCCTACAGTTTCTCTCTAAATATCCTCCATTGCCATGGTTCCAACTACTACTTCTTCACTCTTCAGGTCTCTAAGAAAGAATTCTCCTTTGTGAGCTCCAAAATAAATATCTAGCTGAGTATTTTACATTCTATTTGGATGTTTCACAGGACGTCAAACCTAATATATCCAAGGCCAAACCCTTAATTTCTACACCTCACCTCCTTCCATCAGTTTTCCATGTTTCAGGAGTGGGACTACCATCTACCCAGTTGCTCAAGTCAGAAACCCAGGAGTCATCTTTGGTTTTTTTCTCCTGTATTCCCCAGCCCCTTGTCCAATCTACTGCTAAATCCTATCTCTTCGATATGCAAAAAAAATTATTGTGAAACACTCCCCTGTCCATCTGTCTCTTGCCATAACCCTGGTCAAGCGATCATCACCTGTCACATTAATGCAAATCTTCTAACCCACCCTCCTCAAATCGATTCTCCATATGGCATCCAAAGTAGGTGAATTCTGAATTAAACTTTAATCCTTTCTAAAAGCTTGCTTTCCAGTGTACTCTTATTATTCAATGTACTCTTTACAGTAAATGTCAAGAAAAATTAAAAATTAATAATTAGATGAGCATATCAACCTTTCTAAATCACACAGAAACTAAGCCTAGCAACTTCCTGCCCAGTATATTTTTATAAACATGAATTAAAACTCTGCAGCACAAGTAAAAATCTATGGATTCTAAAATCTTCTTCATCCTCAAAGTTGAACCACCAAGTTTAACAAGAAACTTGACTCCTATTTTGGGTTAAAATAAAGTTTCTCTGCCTCACACATGCCTCTACGACACACAAACTATGACCAGATGGGAGTAGCCCATGGATAAAAGATCCCCCGTCCCCACTGCACATCCAAATGACCATGTTACACTAACCAATGAACCCTTCCCTGCGACTTCCCCATATCTTCTTCCAGGACAACTCTACATCCTGAAGTTCACGTTCCTAGTGCTTATTTCTACCCTTCCTTCAAGTGCATAGAAGCTACATAATAAAACCACTCCAAAAACACACAATGTTAGAACGGTGATGCCATTCTGCTGACTTTATCACTTTGTCAAAAATAAATATCTAAGTATTAAATTAACTAAAAGGTTTAAAAGATTAATAATATAGTTCAACGTGGCTCACAATTCAGGAATCCCAATGCTTTACGCGCATGAGCTATCCGTGACAATGATCTTGAACAACAGGGTGGTAAAGAGCACTCTGGGGCTTGACTGCCTAGCTTTGAATTCTGACTCTACCACGTCTCCCTTATTCAATCTCCAGTAAACTCTCTCTGTGACCACTTCCATATCCAAAAAATGAAGAAAGTAATAATGACTACCTCACTAGGGTTGTTGCAAGAATTAAACCTAAATCTACCTGGCATGAAATAAGCGTCTAGTAATAGTAACTAGTAGTAGTAGTAGTAATAGTAGGTGTTTAATTCTAATTACTAATTTCCTGCCTTTGTCATATAAAAGCAGATAAGTTGTACAGACTATAGTTGATATTCATAGATTTAACAATTTTGCTTTTGACTCTTTTTGCTATATAACATAAAACTGGTGTGTGTAATGATTTCATTAGCTGGAGCGGGAGTTAACAAGTGAACTTGATAAACAAATTTCAATTCAGCGTTTTTGTTCCCTAATCATTGCTGTATATAGATTGTTTTTTGTAAAAATACAGCCTCCAAATGAAAGCCAACTGTCACTTCTGATGATGAAAATAAAAATACCATGAAGAAATTTTGAATAAAGTGACACTTATTAGAGACTACCCAGAATTGACAAAATTGCAAAGATTGGGCAGGTACAAATCACTGGCTTTCAAAAATTTCATCTGAAAGCTAAAATATTAGATTCTACAATGGCTCGTGTCCATTGACAAATCCACATTATGCCTTTTTTTAAAAGCTCCATTGTCAGTCAAGTGGTCTCTGTGTCTGTCTGTCTGTCTCTCCCTCTCTCTCCAATGTATTTGTAAATCTACCTTTTTGCTAAGGTCTTAAAATGAATCTCTGCATTCCAGTGTAATAAGTTAAAATGTTTTTTAAAATATGAATTAATTTGTCTAACACTGAGTCATGATACATTCTAAATTCAAAGGGTTTTGAACTGTTCTATTAACAAACTTTAAAATATCGGCATAAAAACACAGGGTGGTTTTTTAGATTCACGTGAACATGTCAGTTACAGAACCTAGTTTATGCCTCCACTGAAAACCATATTCTGCTTTTACCGGCTTCTTCTGGCAAGTTCCCGGTTGAAATCATCTCCAAGGCGAACCTGCTCACTGCTGAGGTCTCGGAGGGACTGATGAAAATCATGAAGCTAGAAAAGTCAAAACACAGTTCTCCATTTAGAATTCTGTTGAATTCTTTCATTAAGATTCATTGAAGGTAAGAGTAACAACTTCTTTGAAATGATGCCCAAATTTTATAATAGTTATGAAGACTGAATAAATTTCTAATTTAAAAGAAATAAAATCAGAAGAAAAGCAATGTTTTAAAAAGCCATATATATATATCACATCAACCATCACATCCTCTACAGTACAGTAACTCCACTCTTTGTAGATACCCTAGAAAAGGGGCCAGCAGACTTGTTTTGTAACGGGGACAAGAGCAAATATTCCATGTTTTCAGGCTATATGGCCTCTCACAATTATTCCACTCTGCCATTATGGCATAAAAGTAGCCATAAATAAATGAGCATGACTGTGTTACAACAGAAGTTTACTTAACTAAGCCATACACAACAGTGTACAACCCACACTGCAGAGAAATTCCCACCCACGTGCACCAGGAACCATGCACAAGAATGTTTGGAGCAGCACTGTTCATAATCAGAACACTGAAAACAAACCAAAAGTCCATTAAGAAAAGAATAGAGATAAGTAACATATGACCTATTCCTCCAGTGGAGTATCATATAGCAGTGAAAAATAAAATGATCGAACCTACCTACACATCAATAAAGCTGAATGTCAAAAACATAACATCAAGGGCAGGCCGAGTGGCGTGATGATTAAGAACTGGCTTGGGATGCCAGAGGGCCCNAAAAAAAAAAAAAAAAAAAACCACTGATAATGCAAAGAAAAGGACACTGTATGTACTTTATTGTTTACCTTAATTCCACCAAGGATAGTGATTTGATAAAAACATATTACTGCATAATGAGTGTGAACAATCTAAGTTTGAGCTAATAAGCCTTCAGAATTAGGTGTATTTTCAATCAGAACTATGCCAAACACAAACAGACAGTAAGGAGGTCTTTTTAGCAATGGTAATAACACACTTATGTAAGATGACCTGAAATACTTAATGGGGAGTGCTACAGAGCCACTACCAAAAAATTCTGTGTTTCTCAAGTACCTTTTAACAAAAGCTATAGAAGAATCACTGGGTCAATAAAATTTAAACTATCCTTCAAATATTCATAATCAAACTCTAAAAATTAAAACAAATGATAATTCTATCCCTGATATATTACCACTGTATTCCAAACTTAAGTGCCTAAAATTCATGAACACTTTATAGGAGGTGTAAAACATACTTTTGGACAAAATGGTATATACTGACCAAAACGTTCAAATCTACTAACCGTCATTGGGCATACAACCAGCCCAGCCACCCTCCTTACCATCTATGTATGAAATGAAACTTTATATAAACAAAGATTTCTCACCACTTCTTGTTTTTGAGTTTCACTAAGTTTTTCAGTCAATTTTTCCAAAGCCCGTCTTGTTTCAGCATCCGACCTAGGCAACAACAAAAAAATATTTTAATTTGGCTATTTGCAAAAATAGATACAATAAAATTTACAACACAATAATATGCTATTACATAATACCTACTGCAGTGGCTCTCAAACGTTAGCAAACATAGGAAACACCTGGGGGGTTTTGTTAACAAATACAGACTGACGGACCCAACCACCAAAACTTCCGAATCAGGAGTTCTGGGATGGTGCTCAAGAATGAGCATTTCAGGGCCAAACAAGGGGCTCAGTTGGTTAAGAGCTCGCTCAAGAGTGTGAGCTCTGAGCAACAGCGGTTCGAGACCAGCCCGAGCTGAGCAGCCGCTGAGCTGCCAA